TACCCCAGGCATTCCACTTCCCCTTAAAATCGCAGTCCATTTCGAGCTCTATCCAGAGATAGCCTTTCACCGATATCCACATGACACTATGTTTCTAATCGATGTGGATAGTCACCATGAAAGTACCCTCGTACGCCTTTTATCACACTTACTTGAACTTACATTGTTACTCGCTATATTGCCCCTTATGTGTAGTTACGTTATTGAAGACCCGCTACGACAATTATCTTTTTTGCTCGCCTGTGCTCTTACAAAGGAAATGAAGGGCAAGTCTGGTGAACGATTTGCTGAACGTTTATGAGAGTTTTTTCGTGCCATTTCGCTTGTTATCACAGCACTCACGTACATATGCATAAGTGTTCCATTCAAAGAGAGCGTAGCTGGTGTCATGTGAGCCAAGCTTGCTCGGCAGCCTTTGTTGGTTTTTTATCGAGTATTTTGGAAAAAAAGCGGAAGTGTTGTAGTGATAAGTGGCGCAGCTTACTACAGGCGGGTCCAGGGATCAAAACCACGGGTTGAATTCTGTCCATGCCAATCAGGGCGCATCGTTGTTGGGGATTCCCCAACAGGAGGGGGGTTTGGTTGCTGGGAGAGGGGGTCGTATTTGGACTGAGAAATTTTTTTGATAGTTGGTTTTTCTTGTTCCAGGACGTTGTAAAGGGGGGGGGGTCGCATTTGTTCGTTATAGGGAAGGGGATCGTATTTCCCCATCTGACCTTCTGAGAGGATTGATGTCTTTTCATGGTTTTTCCTATTTTATGTGCACTATATACCTCTCGCTTGACAGCAATTTTTTGGGTAAAAGTAGGGGAATCCTCAGGACCGGAAAAAGTGGTAGGAAGTTGAGGAGTATTTAAGGAATGGTAGAGAGGGGGGTCGTAGCAACCCCCTAAAAAGGGGGGTCGCACGCACTTGACCAAAATCCCCACCAAATGATGATATTCCCTGGTGCCAATGCAGCCTTCGATGACGGTCGGTTAATACCATAGGATAAAGTCGGAGGATAAAGGATCCTGGAGGATAAAGCCGCTGATTTGCAGATATATTGGTCACTTCACATGATTTTATTAGGTGGAAAAAGGTTCCGCAATAATGGGATGGCAATTTTAGAACAGATATTTCTTCAAAATCTTCAATCAACACGGAAATTGCCATGTAAACTGGAATGAGTGTCCATCAGCCGAGCAGCTTCTCGTTACTGTTTCCCCAGAATTCCGGCGAGTGCGATGAAAAGAAAATCTCGATTTCATTCTAATGTTGACGTCAACTATCGGTTTTCTTTTTTCCAAGTGATGCATTAATGCTGTGAGTACGTGGTAATCATTGTCAGAAGCTAGTGAGCTGTGTGTGGTTACAGGTCCCAGTAGAGGACCAGAAACTGGGATAGAAAACTTCTTTAGAAACCATTTCCGCAACATGCAGGCACTGGCGTGAAGTGGGGTAGATATTCGGCCTTTTGGGCATGGTTCATATGTGAGGTCGGCCATATTTCGAGGTCAGTTACAGTAGAAAATGCGAATCGTCACTGCTGCACTGTTACTCAGCGCCCCTTTCCAACTCTGCAAGCAACACATTGAATCCTTTTTTCCATGCACATTTTTTTGCCTGGGGACGGTTTTTTCTTCAAGAAACTAATCCCGTTCATGTGCATGGGTTACGCGGAGCAGCCTAGTTCGCTATAACCCAGCACGTTTGCCACAACGTTCCTCCACTGTGCAGGAAGAAGATAAATCTGGACAACATCACTCGTAGACTGGCGCCACTTTTGAGAGATACGTCGCGAATATCTTTCCTGATCACAGGGACTGCGCGTATACTGTGGAATGAATGCAGCCTGAAATTTGAGTCAGCTCACGGGTGGCTGCTTAGGGCTATCTGTCCAGGGCCTTGAAGGAATTATCCTCCGAAGTGTTGATATTGGTTGACTGGGCTACGTCTATGAATCCAAGTAAAGTACACGGCGCATGGCAGGCCCAAAGAAGAATTTTCAACGTTGAATGCTTAATCCTTTTCTGTTCGTCAGAAACTGTAATCATCGTTTCCGTTTTTCTGCCTTTGTCTCGCTAAACTGTTTAACTGTGAATGGGGTGGTATTCAGCAACTAATTTCCTCTGGAAAATTGCGAAGAGAAAGCCTATTGCAGTCAAATTTATTCAGAATTCATGAAATGCGGTGAGAAATTTTTGAGTGACGCGACATTCACGTCATTCAAATACACGTTAATTATGAGCGGTTGTCAGTGATAACGTTGTGCCGTCAGTTGCGGACGTATCTGAAATGGGTGTGTTGGCGAGGAAATGAACGTTGAAACAAACGAACTCACTTGGCAGTCCAATCTATACGACCCGCATTCGCCTGTTTTGTGGTAGCGTTATTGTTTAGCGTTCTTGCACCAAAATTTGGGATGTATCCTGATTTGATAGGTACGGTAAAAGATGTGAAATGGAACGATTTGGTGAAAAAGGGTTGAGTGATGGGATCAGATCAGATGAAATAGCATGGATAGGTTAGTGTACGAAGTACTTTCAACGTGCATTCCATACTGATCGTATGGGCGGAGTCAGTTGAGCCATTGTACTTCCTTCGCCGGCGATTGGAAAGGAGCGCAAGAGGAGAAGCATGCACTGGCCGCTTCCCCCACCCATAGAATCGGCGTGGAGTGCACTTTGATGTAATCTTAACTTTGAAATGATTTGTTTTTGGAACAGACAGGACTTCGTCGGACAGCTACAGTCTTGTTCACTTCGGACGCTGAGGCGTTTCACAGGGACTACACTCCCTGTTCTCCACCAAATGTGGAAGCTGAAAAGCGACCATATCTGGTGGAGAATGGGTGGGCGCCGCGCTAAACACGGCGCCGCTCTAACGTCCGCAGCGCATGAGATTGAGCAGCTTTCTATTCATGTTGTTTCATCTGACAAGGGAATGGTTTGAAGGAACTTTGAATGGAGACCTAGGTACATCGATAGAGCCTCGAATGCTGATTACGAATATGCAGATTAAAAGTGCTACGGGGACCTCCCAGACGAGATCTGGGTGGTCAAAGTTTGAAAAGTCAGTTTTGGCTCGTAAGCGCTGCTGATCGATCGATGTCTCGGCGGTGCGGTAACGGTCTCGCTTTCAAGTCAAACGCACGTGCGGGTTTGCATCCGGTTGGCGCGAAAATTTTTGCTTCGCTCCCTATAAGAGCTTCAACTCTAATTTTCGAAATTCTTCCGAGTTTACGGCCCAGCAGGGCAAGTAGATCAAGTACATCAAGTATATGACGTACTCGATCTAGTATGGATTTGGTCATATCTGCCCTCTCTGAACATATTACCATCCCAATTCAAAGTTTTGGCGAGAAACTCGTTCATGGGAGATTTCGACCCCCTGAACACGAATATCACATCCTTCGACGAAAAAACGCTCGTCTGGCCAAATTGCGATTCTGGGCAAAACTTTGAATTGTCGGATGGGTAATATGTTCAGAGAGGGCAGATATGACCAAATCCATACTAGATCGAGTACGTCATATACTTGATCTACTTGCCCTGCTGGGCCGTAAACTCGGAAGAATTTCGAAAATTAGAGTTGAAGCTCTTATAGGGAGCGAAGCAAAAATTTTCGCGCCAACCGGATGCAAACCCGCATGCGTTTGACTTGAAAGCGAGACCATTACCACGAGGCCACGGTGGCACTGCCGAGACATCGATCAGCAGCGCTTACGAGCCAAAACTGACTTTTCGCAAACTTTGACCACCCAGATCTCGTCGTCTGGGAGGTCCCCGTAGCACTTTTAATCTGCATATTCGTAATCAGCATTCGAGGCTCTATCGATGTACCTAGGTCTCCATTCAAAGTTCCATGGGAAGTTCAAACCATTCCCTTGAGAACGTGCTGTGTGATGTCACGACCAGAACAGGATCTCCTCTACAAGAGTTGTACGAGTTCTCAGTCAAAGGAACAGTCCACGCTGACAGTATGGGCGGAGACAGCCAGCTGTTGTATCTCATCTTTGATGCTTTCCTCCTAAAACTGGAGAAAGGAAGGCGCAGTGGTTGACGATCTTTACCCATACTGCCAGCTAAATCATGCCTTCAATCTCAATGTTTTTTTTTGTGAATGGAATCTTCAATAGTTTCGGGTGAAGCGCAAATACGAAATGAGTAGTACTTGGAGGAGTTTAGACAGTTTCCGACCAGTTTTTCCCCAAAGAGGGAACATCAAAAGGAGGGCATATAGTGCCTGTGCGACGATGAAACGGGAAATAATCAAGAAGGGTGAACAACCAAAAACATTTTCTCCAGATCAAATAGGGGCTCCCTTCCTCTGCCGACCAACAAGGACCTTCCTTAGGGAATCCCCAACTTACGACGTACCCTTAGCGCAATGAAGCAAACGAAGATTTGGACCCTACCTTGGCTAGGAAGTTCTGAGATCCTGTTCCGTCTTGGAAGAAATGAGTGTATGTGGCGGTATAGAGAAAGAGGAGGAGACTAACCGTATGCGTATTCGAACCTAGCCTGTACTGCTGAGCGACTTTTAGCGCTTGGTGCTCCACCAACAGCCAACGTGTTATTTCCACCTCCTTCCTTAGGTACTGCTCCTGAAAACCGCCTTTCAACTTGTCTTACAGCTTAGGAAGTGAATAGGTATTTTGTCCGCACTAATAAACAACCTGGGATGAATTTCGATTTAGACAAGTAAATCTCCTTGGCCGGCTTTTTCTCGCCCGATTTGTTCTTTACTACTTCTGTCTTCTCCGGCTTTGTTGCATTTTCATCGAGCCTGAAGAGAAATTGGTCGCTCAGCTATTATGAACTCCCACATTGAAGAATAGCGGAGGCTTCTTCGCTTCAGACCGCCCCCTTCTTCTGGAAAGTTGGGATGCTTTGAACTTACTTTTCGAACAGATTCGATTTATTGATTGGAATATTTCGATTCAAGTGACGTTCGATCGGTTTTCCTTGAGGCGAGACGTTTTCAGAACCTGGATATTCCTTAGCGACCACCTGGAAAGTTTGAGTTGGAACTCAGGTAAAATCAGCTTCGAGATTAGGTCACCTTTTGTTTGCCAATGACAGCCTTGGTGTCGCTCTGCGTACTGCCTGCACTCGTTTTTCTCGTGCTTCCTGGTGCTGGCTGGCTCATAACAGGGGCTCCTAGTTTCTCGTTCACTTGGAAGTATTTGTACTTGAGGCACTGAAAACGACCGATAGGTTTACTAAGGTATGCTGAAACTTCAAGCTAGCGTTCAGACTTTGCGATGACGTGCTTCGACGCTCGACGACCCGCTGCTACCTGGCGTCGTGGCTACTTTTGCTTCAGTGCTAGACGGAAACGCAGCCGCAGATGCGTATCGATCGGTGCAGACCGCTTCCGTTATGAGAGAGCGTAGGATGACTGGAGAGTAGGCGCTGCCTTCACGTAGTCTGGTGCCCTCCTATTCACCTACATTCACGAAACCTGCGCGCGTTATCGCGAAGTCTGAACGCTGCCTGAGAGCAAGTGCTGAAACCTCCTTGAGGACTCACCTGTGCAGCATTGGGCCTTTTTTCCGGGTTCCACAGCATCATATCCATCATCAGTTTCATACCATCCTTACCGGCTGTGTTCACAATCGTCTCCATTGGGGCGGGTGGTGCTTGTGGAAAACGGAAATTCATTGCCGTGGCTAATTGATATCCTTCCGGCCAATCCTCCTTCAAAGTTATTCAGTTTTAATGAGAACATTTCGCCATACTAAGTAAAAACAAGTTCTTGTTCTTCAGAAGATTTTACAGTCAAAAATGCCTGAACAGCTGCACCTATTGGCTCTTGAAGCCCTTGAGATTAAGGCACGTCCCTTAGGGATCCCAAGCAAGGGCAGGGTCGTATCCGCAGGGCTGAGGGAGGGGGTTTTTGACTG